CCATCGAAGATCAGATTCTTTCACTCCGAGGGTGTAGTGAAGTCTTGGTCCGGGGGTAAATGTAAGACCAGATATTGCATGTGTGAAATAAAATTAGAATTAGCCAAGGAATTAATCATGGTTAGGATAGTTATGACTAAATCTAGCTAGTTATGACTAAGTCTAGCTAGTTTAGCTATAATGTCTATACTTGGCGGAATAACTAGAGAAGTTCTAGAAGATTTGAGTGAGCACTCCTATTTTGTCTTGTACAAAAGTCTAGATTCCAAGAGAAAAGACTTTTGAACTTCATGTTTAGTTTTGATTAAAGTAAGGAGTATTCCATTGTTTAGACTAAGTCTTATGTTGACTTAGTGGAAAGTGGAAATCTAGAAGTTGGAAAGGCACAAATGACATGTCGCCACCTCAATCTAGGGATTAGTAAACATCTAGAAGATTTAGGGGGCCAATGGCATGTTGCCACATATTGATAACTAGTCAACCTTACTATGGTTTATCTTCGTAAAAGTAAGTTAGATAGAAATTACCATTTGTTACTATGGTAAATTCTCAAGTAGTATATATAGAGAGGTAGGGAAGAGCCTCTCAAGCAAGTTTGGAGATTTCATATGTAGAGACTTGTTTCATATATGAAAGAGTGACGAATTTTCAGTACCTTGGAGTGTCGATGAGTGTATGAGTTGGAGTGATACCTTGAGAGATTGTGTGAGAGGGTGTTTAGCTTAGGAGTATGATGCGGAATCCTAGTCTTCTAGAATCATGATGAGCTACCGAAAAGCCATCTGAGGTAAACCTGAGTGAGAGTCAGCCCGGAGGTTGCAGTGCGTAATCAGACGTGGACCAAGGTCAAGACAAGTCGTTTGTTGGCCTCCTTGGACGAGACAATCAAGCATTTGAAGTTGAAGAACGAGGCCTTACGTGGACACCTCGCCATTTCGCGGAAGTTGCAGAAGGTGGTCAACAAGGCGCGTGATGAGAAGTTGGACAAAGCGGAGAAGGAATTTGCGAAGCAGCGGGAGAAGCTCGCGGAGGAGCTCGATTCTAAGCTTGCTCAGAATCGCATCTTGTTAGAGGAGCTTGTGCGACAGACACGGAAACTAGAGCAGTGTTAGAGCGCACGTCAAGCCGATGAAGAGTTAATTCGTCACCTGCAATCGCAGTGTTGCGAATTGAGAGCGCAGCGTGCGGAGGCAGAGCTGCAGCTGGTAGAGGTTGAAAGCAATCACCGGCGCGCGACAAATCGCACGCGGGAGGAGTTGGCAGAGCGAGTGAACCGCTACGTCAGAGGTTACACTCACTGGGAAGTGGCTGCGCAGGAGAGAATCACAGTGCGCGGGTTAAAGATTCGTGCGGCGGAATTGATGTCGGGTGACAGTCGGAGCCGGTGACGGGTCGCGAAGAGGTTAGATGCTTTTCTGTCGAGGTCGCGAGACGCCATTGCGAACCTCGAGGCAGAGGTCACCGAGTTACTTCGGCGGTTGGGGTTGCGCAGCAGTGTCGGCAGTGCCGGCGTGGAGACGTAACGGCCTTCTTTGTACGCTCGGCTTCACGCTCTGCCGTTGTGTGAACTCCCACGCTTGAAATTTCAATTTGATTCTGCTGTTGTCCGTCGACCTTGCCTTGCTCGCGCATCGCCGAAGGCGTTGCGGTGAAGGACTTCGTCCCTGGCTGGTTTCCGATTTACTCTCTGCGTATCGCCGAAGGCGTTGACCAAAGTCAATGCATCTTGTCGTTTTCGATGTTCTTTCTTTTCTCGCCGGAGGCGCTCTTGCCGCAGTTGCTCCTTTTCGCCGAAGGCGCATGTGTCCGCCGAAGGCATAACCTTATATCAATGCGCTTGCGCCGAAGGCGTACATGCGAAGAAGTATACCGCCGAAGGCGCTTGCCCTGAAGGCTCTTGAGCGGAAGGAACTCTTCCACCGAAGTCACTCCATATCAGTCACTTTCGACACTCATAACTCAGTGATCCTTTATTCGTTTCAAGAGTTCTTGAGCTCGTTGGAACGAGCGTGTTAAGCTCTTTTCAAAAAAAACCCTAACTAAGTCAAGGAGTTATGAACTGGGAAAGTTATGAGGGATCTCCCGCCGAAGGCACTCTAACCCCAAAGGCGTATCGCCGAAGGCGTGTGGCTAGCGACGAAGTTGCTTTCCTTTAACGACGGCGCAGATGTCCCAGGCCTCGTATGTTTTCAGCAAAAGCTCTTCTGCAGGGGCCTGAGCCGAAGACCCCTTAACAAGAAAGCTTTTGGCGAAGGCGCCAAAGGCGCTCTCCCTCAGTAGGAACCGTCCGTTCGGGCCAGGGCGTCTGTCCCCGACATTGGGCCCAACTCGATGATTCTTGATGATTGCCCGTGACCCGCGATCATCCATTTTTACTTTATTTTAGTGTACCGAATACTATTTACAGTTGCTGCTACGGTACTATTTTCCAAAAATGTTTAAATTCCATACAAAAACAAAAAGTGGATTACCACACGCCTCTAGGATGCTCCTTCATTGGAAGGATGCGCCTTCGGCAGAAGGACTCGCCTTCGGCGGAAGAAGAAAAGACAAAGAAAACGGCAGAAGCTTGTGCCTTCGCCGCAAGCGCCTTCGGCGGTACGCGGATGAAGAGTTGCGTTGGCGGAAATCGTCGGGATCAAGATTGAATATACAAGTGTGAGAGTCCGTGCAACGGCGGAGCGTGAATTCGCGCGTGCGAATAAGACCGTTACGCCTCCGCGCCGGCATAGCATTCAAGTGGGTCGCTGCCAGCCCAAGTGTCGAACGATGAGAGTTCTTGATCGCCGAAGGAAGAGACTCACTCACGCATTTTCAATTTTGCACTCGCTCGAGTTCGCGACGCGCAGCTGGAGAATTCGCGGAGAGCTTGCGGAGAGTTTGTCGAGAGTGCGCAGCAGGAGAGTCTTGCAGCCGAGTTCGCGGAGAGTTGTAGAGAGTTCAATGGCCAAGTCGATTCCTTTGCGGATGGTACTATTGCGCGTGCCGCAGGTCGGATTGCGGGCATTTCAAGATGAGCTAATGGTGGTGAAACTCGACTTTCTTCTGTGGGGATGGAATTGGGTGTGCCCGGCGATGATCCGGGAGTGACTGCGTGAGAAGAACCAGCATCCGCGAGGTTATCGACCGCACCCGGAGAGATGGCAAGCGAGTGATTGGGAGCAGGTCTTGGGGCGATGCGCGGGAGAATAAAACGACATCCTATTCGAGTGCGAGAGTGTGCATGTTACGAAGGAAGAAGAAATTTCCTTCGGCGCACTTTTCAAGAACTGCAAATCGAGCAAGAACGGGTACTGGACCCGTGACTACAAAGACCGCAAGCGGAAAAATGTCGCGATGGCATTCCTCCAGATTTTGCAGCCGCACAGTACCACCTACATGACATCTTGGCAGGTGGGATTTGTGGAGCTGGCGTTGGCAGGAACTCCGATTCATTGGGCTCGCATTTTGTGGAAGGCCACTGTAGCACGACGTGGTATCAGTATTCCTTTGGAAACCACTTTGTTTACACTAAACATTTCCCAAAGTAAACCACTCCGCGTTCGTTCCCACGAAGATCTACAGTTTTCCCCCTTTAAGACAATAACACCAACACCTAATCTGACGTCGTCTCTCACTTCCGGACTGGTTCGCAGTTAGTAACCTGGCTTTAATCCTAGCATCAGAAAGTGACCGACTCTATGAAGGAATCCGGTCTACAAACAACGCTCGTGTCCTGAAGACTACCAGCCTATGCTGCAGTAAGTCTTCCCTCCCCTCTAGGCTCCTCCAGACGATGGAAACCGTCAACACTCTACGCCTGACCCTTTTCCACTCACTCCGGGCACTCATCAGATTCTCATACTGTTCGACACTCTTCCCGACGATCTACTCAAGACAACAGTACTTGGGCCTGTTTCGACAACCGTCCACAGATAAGAGCTGTGTGTATGTTCTCAATTGAACAACTCAAAACGGAGTACAAAAAGAGGCCCTCGCCTTGAGAAAAACCGAGGTTTAAATACTATCTCCCACAAGTGACCAACTAAAAGCCCGTCAATTCCGGACCGGTGGCTGACTCTTATTTCTAGTGGCCGCCGCTAACTTTCCGGATTAGCAGCCGGGTGCTCATAAGCCCCATCGTTAATCGCTGCCATACTATTCTGGAGCTAACCTACTCCTAGAATTACTCGAACCGTGAGCTCTGCCGGACATCATGGAAACTCTGTAGGAGCCTGCTCATCTGGCCCCTTGTGAACCCAAGATGCTCCTACTTCTACGGTCGGTACTCAAAAGCGCATCAGGTCTCCAAGGTGAACTGCCTCTAGTCGAAAAAATGTAGGTAAGGGAAGTTAGCAAAACAGATCTGTAATTTAGGGAAAAGCATTGGTTGTGAGGATCGGGTTTGGGGGTCTGCTTCTAGAGCTCGGCGGGCGGTCGGTGATCTGCCCAAAACTGCTCTCGCGGTGAGCGAACGGCCGGCATGTAGGCTCGGCGCTTCCACACTACGTCAAACACGGGGACCTAACCACAAGAATGGTGGCTACCTGGCTGGCATCGAACATACAACTGCCACCTCTCCTCATCCTTCATCTCAGCTAGCAAACATCTACTTATCTTCCTGCCTGCCTGCCTTCCTTCCTGTTTCTCTATCTATCCTCCACCCCAACGGCATACTTCATTGACATAATAAGTACGATACCAACCTAGTTTGTTGACACTGCATTTACTAGTTTCACACTAACTGCCGGCAGAACAAAGACTGCGCGATTGCATGCCCAACTGCTGTTCCAAAGAAGTTTTTCCAAGAGATGAATCTTCCTTGCACAAGAAGGGATTGTCGCGACTTACCCCTGAATAGAGCTCACTCAGCACATCTCTGCTCGTCTTTGCCTCTGCATCCTCTATCTCTCTTCTGATATACGCCAGCCGATTATTGTCTCGAAGCAATGAAGACTCGTCTGAGGAAATGACTGGCAAGCGTGACGCTGCTGTGTCTGCGCATTGACATGCATGAGCAATCAAGCAAGCAAGGCCAGCGGCAGCCGCAGTGGGCGAGCGAGAGAGTGGAGAAGCGGTCTGCCGATAAACTTTAGAACCTCGTCTATCAATATTACAGTTAGGGACACCGCCAGCACAAGCAGCCACTCGTTTAAGCTGAGGGGCACAATGCCAAAGATGTTGGCAAGGATGGGGATATAAAGTATCAAAAAGTGAAGTCCAAAAGACACCGCCATCGCCAACAAAAGATACGGGTTCACCCATGGTGGCATGGTGATTAAACTCCCATCCTCTGACAAGCATTAAGAGAGTTGAACATCTCAATGGCACCAGCACTGAGAGGGAAAGAGTTGTTGCCTTCACTTTCCCTAGCGTAAAGTAGTCACAAGGATTCTTGATGAAGTCCAATTCCTGTGAACCGGCCTAGAAAGGTGCGACGGTAAAGTTCTCCCGTGTTGGACAGTCGCCTCAATTTGTCAGTTGTGAGTAAAAAACTAACGTGTGTCCATCCAAGGTCAGAGGAATGCCCAAGAAAGATGCCTGAGTGTACCACAAACCGAAGATGCCTACAGTTGCAACTCCTACGTAGCTACCAATAACCTTGTATCGGAAGAACATCCACTTATTGATCAAGACATCATCACTTCTTCGGGGTGGGTTCCTCTTGATGTCGGCATCAGGGGGATTGAAACCCAATGCGGTTGCCGGAGGACCGTCAGTCACGAGATTCACCCAAAGAAGCTGAACAGGAATTAGGCCTTCGGGCATGCCGAGTGCTGCAGTCAAGAAGATTGAAGCAACTTCTCCAACGTTCGAGGATATCATGTACCTGATGAATGCCTTCATATTATTATAAATAGAACGACCTTCCGCAATGGCGGACACAATGGTGCTGAATTTGTCATCCGCAAGAACCATATCGGACGCCTCCTTGGCGACTTCAGTTCCGGCAATTCCCATTGCGATACCAATGTCTGCAAGCTTCAATGCTGGAGCATCATTCACTCCATCTCCGGTCATAGCTACAACTTATCCAGCCTCCTTCAGCATACGAACAATGTCCCGTTTGTGTTTCGGTTCGAACCTCGAGAAAAGACAGCCTCCACTTCTAGCTAGAATTTTCCGTCGTTGTTCCACTGGAAGGCTAAGAAAATCTCTTCCCGTAAAACTCTTAAAAAAGATATATTTGCCTTCGCTGAACACTCCAATCTCCTTGCATATGGCTTCGGCAGTATTCTTGTTGTCACCGGTAATGACCATGACTCGAATTCCTGCTTCTCTGCAGTCGTCAATTGCCTTGTGGACTTCTTCACGGGGAGGATCTCTGATACCGGCCATGCCAACAAAGACAAGATCGCTCTCGATGTTTGAGTAGTTGCTAGGGTCGAGAAGCAGTCTGTAAGCAGGGTGATCCTCTCCAGTGTAAGATTCAATCTCGCCCAATTGCTCCTTGTATGCGAAACCTATACACCTCAAAGCCTTAGAGCTCATGTTGGCCAAACGCTTCAACAACAATTCTCTAGAGTCTTGGGTCATTTCCACGAACTGACCACTTGCCAATTGAAGAAATGCACTCCTCTCCAATATATTTTCAACGGCACCCTTCACCAAAAGACGATTCTTGCCGACATTGTTTTGCACAATGACACCCATGTACTTTCTGAGGCGGTCAAACTCCAAAAGCCCAAGTTTCTCTTGTCGTGAGTTCCAGAAGTCACAGCAGCCCAACTCCACCCTGGTATTGTCAAGAAGGTTCTGAGGCCGGCTCCGCTCTTGAGCAATTTTCGCTTGCAGTCTTGCATCAAGCACTCCCACATAAAACAAAAAAATCCCTTCGGAGGTTTTTCCGGATACGTGTTTGATCCAAAGACTTCCTTCCTCCTCTGAATGTCAGTCTCATCTTCGCTTATGCCTCGCTTCTCAGTCACCTACAGCTTGGCTACGAGTTCATGAATACGTCCAAGACGGATCAAAGTATCTTTCTCGTTCTTCTCGTCTTCTCCCTCTCGAGCCCCGCAGAAGGTGAAACAAAAACTGAACTCTAAAGTGAATAGCATAGAATACGGAACGTCATCCTCGGTGTCAGTAAGTCCGCCTTCCAGCCAATACTCCTATGAATCGAGGGCTCCTTGGCATGTCCCGGAAATCTTGAATCCTGTAATATTTCAGATTTGTCTATGGTGGTCTTTACGCGTGTGCTGACGTTGATAATGCTCACCCGATCCCGCGGCAAAAACTGTCCCTCTTCTTTACCAACTATGCCACGACCACGACCACGACCTTTACCTCGGCCTGGTCCATCTTGAGCGGCCAATCGACCGCGGCCAACTGTAGTCACGACCGTGGTAGAGTTATCCTTTCCAGTGGAGTTATGCACGGCTCCGCTGCTAACAATCTCTCCCTTCCTAGTCCCTTCTAAGACAACCTCCTCTTCCATATCAAGAGGGAAAAAGGCAAGAGGCTCTAGGACTTCCAGTTGCATAAGCTGAGGTACTTCCGTAAATCCTTCCGGATATCTGGTGAAAGTCGATGAGCTCCCAACCTTCCTATAAACATCAAGAAGCTTACCCCTCGGGTACCGAAACAAATTGTCATGGAAAGGACTAGATTTCCCTTGACTACTATCCCATTTATCAGGAACAGGTGGAAAACCAATAGGACCTCCAGCCGGGGGTCCATGAAGTAGACCACTTTCAGAAAAATTTGCACGACTGCGACCGGCAGCAAAACCTACATTTGGCCCATCTCCTCTTCCCCTTCCCACACCAAAACCAGGTGCAAATTTTGGTGGGGTGGCTCCCGGAGGAGGAGCTTCTCCAACTCCGCGACTCATAAAAAAGTGCGGACGCCATGCACGATCTCGAGTAGCATTGTCAGATTCCCTCTCGCCTTCTCTATTATTTATTGGATTCGGAGTGTGTCTATCTCGGTGGCCCTCTCCTTCTTTCTCCGGCTCTGACAATTTCTCTCTCCGATACTCTTTGTCCTTGTCTTCTGGACCCCAACAAGTGCTCCACTTACTGTCTCTCCGAGCCTAAAAGCTAGTCTCCCTGTTAGCTGTGTCGGTCCACCTATCGGACAGAAGGCGACGGAGTTTTGTGGCGTCTCTACCTGCATTATTTTCAGCCCATCTCTCCCCTCGACAAGTTTCTGCAGTCTCCCTCTCTCCCTCTTTCCATCGATCCCTACGCGCGGCAGTGCTGTTTTCTCTTTCCTCTTCCCGCCAGCGATCACGACGACTGTTGTCAGATTGCGTTCCAATGATATGGATCTCCACTAATCCCGCTTCCTCTCTGCGTCTCTAGTCACATCCCGCCCTCCGTCACGACCGCCATCTCTACCGACATCTCGTCCTCCATCCCCACGGGCAACACCATCACCCCGCCATCGCTCCTTTATAAGAGCTTCACTAGTGAGCCCACCATGACTTGGGGTTCCCGGTGTCTGCGGGGGTTCCATGGTGGCAATGGGTGGTTTGCTTTCTGTAGGCTTGGAAAAGAGCCACTGCGGCGACAAGGGTATGATATTTTCAGAAGCGGCAATATCTGCACCCACTTTGAAATCAGAATCAGCTCCAAGTAACACCTTTGATGACTCCAGTATTCCGCTACCTTCGTCGCGTAGCTTCCAAGACTCGAGCCGAAGAGGCGTACCGCCACCACTCTCCCTCATTGCTTCACCTTTACTTTCCGTCATTGTGCTCAAAGCGCTTTAACCCTAAAAAACCAAATAAAAAATATAAGCCTCTGCACTCTCGTATCCTCGCGCTCTTCCACCCAAGTTCCTCTCGGCCTCTGCGCCTGCGCCTGCACACGAAGAGGAAATTGCAGAACCGCGAACTGCGGACGACGAGCCAGCCCAAAGAGCCAGCAGCCACAAGACCAGGACTAGAGTCTTCTATACACTCCCCACCCGTCCTCTGCCCTCCTCCTTCGTCTACCCGTTTTTCCCCGCGGCCAGAGCCTTCGTTTTCTCCATACCTGCAATTACCATCGCCTAACCTCTTAAACCCTCAGCCTACTCTCAAAGCGAAAACTCGTTCCAGCCCTCCTCCTCCCCTATAACGCACCAGTCATTCCTTCTTCGCCGCACCTTTCTTTTCCGACAGATCTACCCGCGTACTGAACCTAGTGCACTGCTACCCATTCAAGAACCACTCCATCTCCTCCACCCTCCACCGATCTGGCAACATTGTATAGTCTTCAAGATCGTGCTCGTCTTCCAACACCACATTCAAATCCACTGCTTATGAGATCACCGAACAGCCCTAATGCAATCCTTAGATCGTCGTGCAAAAGGTCGTGTACATCCCTCTGTGGGAACTTGTGCTGCTTCCTGCTCCTCAATCCGTGCCTCCCCTAATTCATTTCTTTGTTTCGACTTTCCGACCTTCTTATCCCGTAGTTATTACTTTCTAACCTACAAACTTACTGTAGCTATAAAAGAAAACTTCATTTTTTAAAATTTTTTTTGCCAGAAATACTTGTTTGGCCGGTTACCAGTGGAATTCACTTTCCACAGCCCCACGGCAGCATGCGCAAGAGGAGAAGGGGGGATTGATTAATCATCTCTCCCCTTTCTTGATCAACTCTTATCGGTCAATGGGATGTCTGACAGCAACGGAGCGGGTACAATTTCCCTTGCTGTTGCGGGCGAACTCGGGAAGATATGTGAGGGATGTCGAGGTGAATACAGACCCCGACGAAGTGGTCGCCAGCACATCACCAGCTCGACTGAAAGCGGATGACGGACCGAGGGGAGCGCAGGCACCCCGGAAGCAAAAATGGGATGGAAATGCGGACCTGAGTTAGCGCGAAGTGCCCACTGCTCCAATCAGGCGTCGGGCAAACAACGAGCCAGCCCAACCGAAGCAGAAGGCGCGCAAGCTAGTTCTGCCAGCGGACACAGGGCAAGCCGCAGTTACGAGAAACTCACCATCCTCGGAGGAGGATGTGAGTACAGAGGTTCTTGGGAGATCAATTGATCTCCCTGCACCAAAGGCATGAGTGCCTTCGGAGGAAGCGCGTAGGCCTTCGGGCCACAGAGAAAGGCATGCGGCAACGGCCAAAATGCCTGCGATGGAGAGATGCTTGCCTTCTGAGCAAGTACCATTTGATGGCTCGCCTTCGGGTCAAGGGCCTTTGGCGCAGGAGAGGTTCAGGGAGGAGCCTTCGGCTCAACGGACTTTGGCTCAACGGACTTCGGGTCAAACGCCTTCGGCGCAGACCCTTTCGATGCAAAAACCCTTGAAGCAAGTTGCAGCGGGCAAAGGCAGGGATGAGGAGACACGTGTGCCTTCGGCACAAGTGCCTTCGGTGGTAGCAGTCCGGGCAGGAGTAGCAGGCCCACCGGGAGCAAGTTCTTCCACCCATTTGGAAGTATTGGTAGGACATGGAGTGGAGGCCGCAGGAGAGGAAGCTGCGCGACCAGCGCGACAGAATCGCCTGGATTCGCCGCGACAGAATCGCCGTGGATTTCTACGGCGACAGAGATCATTGAGACCGAAGACGACATGCCTTCGGAGGAGGAGGAAGTGGAGTCGATGTGAGGTATACCGACCGGTGTGCTCTGCGAGCAAGTGGTACCACTACTCCGGTACGTTGATTGCAAGGCGACCAAGTACGCGGATCCCCACCATCGTGGATCCTATGTCGAGCTGGTCAGGAATCGGACCCGAATCAAAGTAGCGACAAATCCCGAGTTGATAGCCCTGGATCAAAAGTATCGGCAACTGGAGGAGCGTTACAATTTTCTGCAGGAACACTGTACCATATCGCGGAAGTTGCAGAAGGCGGCGCTTCAGCTGTGAGATGAGGTAGTGGCCAATGCGCACTGCAAAATTGAAGAGCTACGTGCGAGGATCGAGACGGGATCAATTTTGAGCAAGCGCAGAACCGCATTCTGGCAAAGGAGCTCGTGCATCAGACGCAGGCGCTAGAGAAGAGTGAGGCCGCGCGTAAGGCGGACGAAGAATTACTGGGTCGAATGCAAGCGCAGTGCGACGAATTGAGGTGCGGAGGCGGAGTTACAGTTGGCAGAGGTTGAAGGCCACAACCAGCGGGCGGCAGATCGCATGCGGGAGGAGTTAATTTCGCGGGTTGACTGGTGTCTTAGAGGTTATGCTCGCTGGGAGATCGCGACGCAAGAGAGAATGACGTTGCGCGAAATGGGGATACGTGCGGCAGCTTTGATGTCTGGTGAAAGTCGGAGTCGGCGGCGCGTGGCGAAGCGGTTGGAGTCATTCCTATCGAGATCGCGGGACGCCATTGCGACCCTCGAGGCAAAGGTGACCGGGATGTTGCGGCGGCTCGGACTGCGTAGGATAGAAGACGAGTGGACGGGTAGGGAGTTAGTGAGTAGTCGGCCTTCTCATAGGAGGCATAGTCGATGAGTAGAGTGTTAGGTAGTTAGGATCTTAGAGTGTATAAAAGAGTTCAAGGCATTGGCCTTGGGGGATTTTCCAGTTTCGGAAGTTCAGTTCAGGAACTCGTTTTCTCTGCGCGTTTGTGTACATCGTTTTGTCACCGCGTAAGAGAAGCTATAGCTTGTCGAAGTTACCGCATTTTGTAGCTGAAGGCCTTCACCCGAATGTTCTGAGCTTGTGTAGTCTAGTCAAGATCTTCAAGTTAGGACTTACACCTTCGGATAATTTTTCCTTGTTTGTATTCCTTCGGGATTTTCCCCCCTAAATACCAAAGTGAAGTTTTGTTAACTTCGGAGTAAGCCTTGGTTGAATTCAGGTTGTGTGTGTTATGCTGCTTGAGGCGCCTTCGGGGCTAACCTCCGCAGTATTTCTAAGAATGACTAGTGCCTGAGAATTCAAACTCGTCAATAGACTGTTAAGTTATAAGACTGGGTCTTTTCTCAATTTAGTTTCTCAGTTTGGATTTCTGTATTCTCTGCGCGTTTTGTGAGTTGAGTGTGTTGTTCACCGCGTGAGAGTGACTTTGGTTTGACGAAGGAACCGCATCCAAAGTAGTAAGTCCAACCCGAATGCTCTGCACTAGCAGTGGCTAGTGACAGGGTTTAAGCAAGTTCGGAGTTGGGTGACTACCTATAGTTCGGAGTGTACTCTTGGGAAACTTCCCCCCTTGAATCTTAAGTGGAGGTCATGACCGACCTTTGAGTTGTGCATTTACAGTTTCAGGTGTGTGTTGGGCTGTACTACGCTGCATTGTGTGTCCTCTGAGTGACCTCCGAGTTGAGCACTTGCAGTATTTTTGGAAGTGACAGTAGCCTGAAAATTCAAACTCCTCAATAGTCTGTTAAAACTTGACACTTTGTACTATGTGTGTTGCCTCTGTCTCTGTGGGTTCGATCCTTTGCTGTTATACTGCAATTTAGCTTTGGGTGGGCTTTCACATCCATCTACTGTGAATGAAGCAATCACAATTGCTCAACGAATTTAAGGTGTTTTTGGTGTCACACAGGGTGAACCAGTAAGCAATTTTTGAAATTGATCTGGCCCAACATCGATGGAGTAAAGGAAACCTTCGACGTAGAGAAGGTTTTGCATCAACAAGAGGACCACCACTAAGATTTGGAGTTGAGATTTGGCGACCATGAGTTTCAAATTTGCAAGAAGATTATGCAAATAACGTAATGGTTTGAGGAGGAGTTGGAGTTCGTGACAATCATCAATGTTATAAATGTGGATCAATGGGTCACATTGCCAAGTTTTTTTGGATTCGGCCAACACCATAAGGAGAACGGCCCATACAGTGACGACCGTTCAACAACATGGAGGGAATAGAGTATGAAGAGGTGGAGGAAGAAGTTTCTGGAAACAAAGATTATCAGTAAACTTGCCTTGCGGCCTTACTGGTTCTACATAGCGAAGAAAAATGCGAGGTTGTCCGAAGGCAATGGTTGGGAGCTCTAGGAAGGAGTAAGAAGCAAGCTCAACTCATTATCACTGATGGTTTGATGGAAGGACACAAGGTGAGAGTTTTAATTGATCCTAGAGCAACTGAAAATTTTCTATCAAGGAGTGTTGCTATGAAGTTAGCTTTGATGTTGATGAAAGACGTGAGTGAAGAAATTGTATTGCCA